AGCGAGTCCTCGGGGCGCGCGGGGGTGTGGGCGCGGGTGTGGGGCGCGGGGCGGGCGAGCAGTGCGCGGTGCAGTAGCGCGCCCAGCGCCGCGCCGCCCAGTGGCCCGGCCCAGTACACCTGCGTAGTGAACACACCGCTTAAATACACACATAAGCATTGTCGTCAATATTCATATAGCAATTAAATTAAATGTTAAGATTATAGATATGAAACCTTAATGAAGTCTTTTATGCAAGTTCGATGTCTCTCGATTAGACTTGATTTTTGACACGTTATTTTATATTGTAAATGTCTAACATTAAGAGAATTTACTCGAGCTTAGCGCCTTCGCCTACGTTTTTTTCATGTATAACTTCACATATAAATATTCTTCGCACACACCGGACGGTGACTGGTTTTTTTTTATATCATAAGATGGCAAACGAGCGAGCGGCCACCTGAAATCGCTGAAATAGCGAAGTGACCGTTGCCCATAAACATACGCAATTGCATATGCGTTGCCTACCTTTAATCGACGGAGGAGAGGATGCACAGAAAGAAAATATTTTCCCTTTCCATGCATCCTCTCATCCGGAAAGTCCACTTCCACTTCCCATCCTTTCCTTATAAGAAAGAGGATGGGAAGGGAAAGAGGACTATATAAGGCCTCCGGGACACACACTCATCAGACGAAACGCGGAATAGCTTCCTCTTGACGCCTGTCTTCTGTATTTCACCGGACGAGCCGGGCCAATTCGTGCGAAGATGTTAAAGCGGGCTCTACCACTGTTAAACTGGTTTTGAGCCTCCACACTAATGTAAACTCTTTTGCGCGCGGAACCCGTGCGCGCCCTCTCTATCTCCTACTGGGTGGGGATGCCTTAACCTACACTACGGATATAAATGAGAAGTGAATACACAGGCCATATAGTGGGATGGGTGAGGCGTGAAAGTTACCCAGTGATCCGCCGTGAGGCCCTGGAAGAGCGCGGGCGCGAAGCTGCGCGCCGGGTTGAGGCTGGCGCCCGTCAGGTGGCCCTGTGCGAGAACAACGTTTACGCCTTTTAATCAATGTACTAAACATATTAAATTTGACCCACCATTAAAGATTTACCCAAGGATCGAATGACCATGTATTTAATTTTGGGAATCTTACCCCGGCATAAATAAGTCCGGCCACGGTGAGTCCGACCTTGAGGGATACGGTGCGGTCGGGCCGGCTGGCGTCGTGCGCGGACCACAGCGCGCAGCACACCAACGCCAGCACGCCCGTCAGTGCCGCCTCGACGGCTACGGCGGCCGGCCACGACACCGCCGGGTGCGTCGCGCCCTCGCCCGCTGCGTGCGGCGCCAGCGCCCGTAGCGCGCCGAACCCGAGCACTGCGCCCGCGAGCTGCGCCAGCGCGTACCCAGCGGCCGCAGCTCCCGGCAGCTGGCCCACCAACAGTGCGGCGAGGCTCACCGCCGGGTTCATGTGCGCCCCTGACGCCGGCCCGAAAATCTCAGCGTTCGCTAGCACCACGAAGCCGAAGGCGAGCGCGGGGTGTGTGAGAGGGGGCGGGGCGCCGCCGGCCGGCAGCAGCGCCGCGATGCCCAGGAGAATGAGGAGCGCGGTGGCCACCAGCTCGGCCAGCAGGGGGCGCCACCAGCGCCGCGCCCACGCGCCCACGCCTCGCTCGGACTCTGTAACCGGGGAACTAACACTCGGTTATACTTTTACTTGCAGTAGTACGACACCAATAACTTCTCGGTTTTTCAATTAAACGCTTTATTTTCGTTTTTTCTGTTTTGCGAGTACAATCACGGAATGGCTGGTGTGTGAGCGGAGGTAGACGTCTCCACCACGCGCCTCTCTACCCGCGCTTTACCTCTCTTACGATATACCTACGTATGTTGTGCAAAGCAGCCCTGGTGAAATAAATTTTAGGGTGTAACTAATAGCTCACAAAGCGAACTCGAAAAGAGCTCTATATTTAAGTGTACGTTTGACGATTATATCAGCAATGTTTCTAACAGCGAAGAGTCCGCCAATAGTTTGTAGAGGTGACACTTGGTGCATCGCTATCTAATTGTTGGATGCGTAACTGGAAGGAATGCCGCTGCGCTCAGGCAACTCGGCAACCGCTGTGTGGCGTCTATTTATTATTTTAACAAAACACATTTGATACACCCCAGTTTCGTTCCGCGCACAACGCGACGCTATCCTACAAAATTACTTATGTGTGTCATCCAATCTTATTTTAGAACTTAATATTCACAGTCTAAACTAATTCCAAAAAAAAGTATGTTACAATATCTTATTGACGAAAGTCAAATTTTCGTGATTTACTAATAAAATATTTGACAGTGTTCGTGAACTGCGCTATATGATCGCGACCCGGTGGCATTCGGCACGGAATAATAATACGTGTGTGCAACGTGGGTACTGACCGTCGCTAGGCATCGTGCTGCTGCGGAGGGCCGCTCGCGCCGACTGTGCTGTGGCCGTGGCTGGCTAGCGGCTCGCGCGGCTCCCGGCTCGCCCCCGCCCGCGCCCGCTGCTCGCCGCTCGCCGCTCGCCGCTCGGCTCCGACTTCACGCTATATCCTACTCTTCTCTTCTCAATTCAGTACATTTCTTGAACACGACTTGGCACTGAACAGATACCGTGATATGCAGCAGGTCGTAAGCTGCAGACCCATTAACCAGAGTATTCAATGGTTCAATAATACCTAAACTGAACCTACTTCATCTACTAAAACGACGACGAGACAGAAACTCGTAGGTATTTAAAGATAATCTTGGTTAGTTAGTTATCTATAAGGCCTCGATTTTAGCAACTCCACTGGCGCATATTTTGCTTGTGAGCAGGATCCGGATTTACCCGAGCCAGCCCAGCTCCGAAGAATCCCAGCAACTCTTTTATCTTGTTTATCCTGTATTAAAGCACTGGTGTGCGGTGCAGCATCACGTGGGACGCTGTTTCTTCGTGACCCATGCGCGCTGTGCAGAGGAGGAGCTGTCCGTAATATCAGTATTAAACAAATCAAATGTTTGTGAAATTCACCATATCCTGTAATGGCAGCACAACTTCCCCGAGTTGCTGGTATTTGAGTACTTGGTGCTTTTACAGTAATCTACAGTATTTGCAGTAATAGTGTGGGTATAGTCTGTCGTCGGTCGACATCTAATACATATACAATTTGCCTACAACTTTGTGAAATAAAAAAATTGTAATTAAAAAAAAAGAGAACAATTTAGATGTATATGTAACAGTGGTCAAAAAAGCTTGTAATTTTTTTTCTTTTTTTTGCTATAAAAGTAAATGTTATAGCTTTATAATATAAAGAAGCATAATTTTGCACATCAGACTAGTTATAAATAAATATTAGCATGTATATAATTATTGCTTTGTATTTTATAAAAGATCTGTTTAACTTACTGTTTAATACATAACTTAGGGACATAAAAAATCACGAATATGTTACAATAAAGTTGTGTTTGTACTTATATGTTTATTTGTTTGTGAAACTTGTAGTGAGTCCGGGGAATTTGCAAATTAAAACGTTATTACAAGCATAAGCATGACGCTGATGCACAAACGGACCGCTGGCATGGTGCAATACCACACAGAAGATAGGTGTGTCCATGGACGTCAATAACCATCTCGCTTTGAAGCCTTCACTTATAAAAAATGATATTACCTATCCAGCCAGTCTTCCATCAAATCTCCTTCATCTTGCCATTCGCACCTTGGCTAAACAAGGATGGCAAAGTAAGAAGAACTAGAATAGTTTCATGCACGCTCATCCAGGGAAACGCTCTAACTTCAAGACTGTAAATGTTAAAGCATAAAGCTTAACGACGAATTGTTCTTTTTTAAGTTAATAATTTATTATAGTTAAGTGGCAATAACGATGTTATGTAAAACGTTATAGATTGCGAGAGGTCAGGGGCCGCGCCCCGCGCCTCGCCGCGCTTGCGCAAGCGCACGATACGGCGCGAAGCGTTATCACTCGTTTACGAAAATATAACACGAACTATTCTTATTTTTTAAATTTTAAAATAAATGTACACAAGTTTTCCTCGTCAGTCGACTCTTCCCCCTCGCCCTGCACTCCGCCGCGACGTCTGGCAATGCTCCAGCCCCAAAGACAAAATATTTGTATTATAATATCTGTTTTGATCACCCTTAACTTAGGGTAGGCTCCGAGCCCCTCGGTGGGGACGTATAGTGAGCTGATGATGATGATCTGTTATGAAAACATAGATAATGTGAAGCGGAATGTGCTACAACAACCAGACGGGTGACGGAAGAGCTAGTCCCCGCAGTGGGGCACCACCGGAAGCTCTGCGCTCATGTCTCGCTCTGTATTGTCTACAGTCACGTTGCTTACGATTGTATTTATCTCATTTTTTCATTCGGAACTTGAAATAAACTCACCTCCTTGTTAACTATTTAATTTGCTGTCAAAACAAAATTATGTATTTTTACAGCTATAAAATCAAACGATGGTAATATATAAATATGTAGGTAAACGAGTTTGTGATTAGCATACAATACGGACATATATCAAATTGAAATAATATCGTGAGGACATGAACAAGAAACTGGTCGCGAAACAAGTAATCCTTGTAAGTGTAGTATCAACGTACAAGATGACGCCGCACAAGTGAAGGCTGGTGAAGGCATCGGCACACTGCGCTCGCCTGTGTACAGTCAACTCAGTGGCTAGCGCTGTAGCACTAATCTAAAGCGAAAAAGTTTTATTATATTTGAATATAAAGGGTCACGCGCGACTACGTTAATTAAAATCCTGGTCTAGGGCGCATTAGTCGGCTTTCTTTATTACATCATTTTCTAATGAACGCAAAGAAATTAGCTCAAGTTTTCATTGAAATATCAAACGTAACAGAAGTAAAATAATCTCATTTTTGTTTTTGATTTTTATTTATTATATTTTACAAAACTACGAAACTACATATTTACTTTAGGTCATAAAACCCCTCGCATATCTATTTAGCTTTTGCTCGACTTCGTCTGCGCAAAAGTTTTTAATGAAGGGTGAAATGTATCTTATGTGTTACTCAAGACTATGATTCTATACGTTTTTACCAAATTTCAATAAGATGTGTTGAACCGTTGTGTAGTTATCGAGTAAACAAATGTTGCTTGTGCTGGTTACATGTTGTTGATTCACACAGACGTATTCCACGGCAACCATACACATTGTCGGGGTCAAAGGTACCCTAAGCGTTCTTTCACACTACGTTCTACGTGTATATAACATTTCACTGAGATCCGTTGAACTGTTCAGGAGATACCTTACTAGGTATCTCCTGAATCTAAGTTAGAGAACTTAGATTAAGTAATTTGTTAGCCGCTAATTTATACTATGTGTACAATATTTTGTTTGTAATTTAATCAGTTTCAAAATGATAACGTTTTGCGTTATCTGTTTGTTCTAATTACGTACTTAGTAGTTTGTTTGTTTGTTTGTTTGTTGAACATTGTTGAAGATTGTGGTGGGTTGCGTCAGAGGACACCGCGGCGGCTAACCACTGGTCAGCTGGTCACTTACTGCTCGCTGGCCAGTAGCAGCGAGTGTGTGTGTGTGAGTGCGCTTGTACAATTTACTCTGCAAATTAGGTTTATCAGTGAACAGTGGTGAACACTAATGAGTTAATACTTACCGATGTGTTCCTTATAATCTCTAGATTACAGTGATTATGTAATTTTAGTGTTTACGCGGAATGTACTGATAATTTGATAAAAAAATATCATTAATTTTGAGGTTATGATCCATATATAAATAAATTGAACAGCAATGAAAATCACGACATCATCAACTATATGCATTTAAACTATATTTTTTTTGTCATCATAACTCATCTGCTCAAAACTTCTGAGTTAATCTGAAGCGCGGCAAAGTGTTACACACGATGAAATTATTGACACTCAGTAACAAAGATGTAGTAATTCTGCGAATTATGTTTATTTAAAATAAAATTTGTAATAGCTATATAAGTAAAGAAGTGTGTATTCAATTCTGACCTATGAAGTGAAGCTAGACCCATTTCATTGTCCGTAACATAAAAATTATCAAACCCGTCGTCTGTTCCCGCCCTTGTTACTCTGACACACGAAAAAGACCCTATCTTTTTTTTGAGAAGGGGGCAAACGAGCGGCGGGAACACCCAGATGATCAACGACACCCATGGACATCTGCAACACCAGAGGAAATGCATTTTCAACGAACCATCACTATTGGAGATTTCATTGGAAATAAAAATCATCTAAATTATTAGCAACATTTTCGAAACAACAAATAGTTTCAGAGATTTTTTTAGCGATGAAGATTTAAGCAACGATAAAGATGAAATACACATCAAAACATGATACTTACAGTTACAATACTATGTGAAAGTGAAAATAACATTCAAATTACTAAAACCGGTAAAATCAGCCACAGTGAGCCTCGCTCACACGACAAACTTTGTGCTGCGCTGTTGAGTTCCGGCTCGTGGACGTCTCTCACAGTCGCCGCGTCACCTGTTGACCTCGCTGTTCCGCGGCTTAATATTCCATTGGACAAAAGCAACTGCTCGGCGGCACATTATGATAATTACCTATTTAATATTACCAAGTAGTAGTTTTTGTGAGGTAATGGCGGGTGGGGCGAGCAGTGAGCGACGCGCGGCCGCCAGGGGACAAGTGCCACCAATCTGACTAAGTAACCAAGGCGGTGTCGTGGCCGAACAATTTGTAGTACTAATTAAATATTATAATAATCCAGTTATTTAAGAAATATGCTGAAGGGTAACTAGGTATGTAACGCTGACAACACTTCCCTTACAGAATGTGTTGTTGCTGATTTGTTTAAGAGCACTAGGTTATTTCTATGCAAAGATTATTAAAAATTTTAACAAATAATACCGTAAATTATAAAATTTCCTATTAAATGTTTTTTATTACAAAACGCTAAGTATACAAGTTATTGCTATTTTAAAACTGTATCGCTTTCTTTTGATGGGAAGTTTATTTATAAGTATGATAGCGATTACAAGCGACTCCGTCCGCGCGGAATTAAAATAAAACATAATTAGCAGCCAGTTCCATATGTATACCAAATTTCATCGAGATCCGTTCATGACTTCTAAAGATACCTTCAAACAATCATCCACCCACCAATCTACAACATCCGGATTTATAATATTAGTAAAATGTACATCTTACTAATATTGCAAATGCGAATGATTGGATGGATGGATTGATGCTAATTACAAGATATCCCCAGAACGGCAGACGGGATCTCGATGAAATTTGATGTAGATGCAGAACAAAGTGTGGGAGAACACAACACGGTTCCCGTGGGATACTTCTGATTAACATAACATTTACAATGAAATCGTTGAGGTATTTGAGAACCACATTTTATTGAATCTTAATGCATCCAAGTCTTACAGCATTACATTACTATGTTCCTTTTTTCGTACTGAATATTTTTTATTAATAAGAGAAGGGGGCAAACGAGCGGCAGGAACACCGAGGTGATCAGCGACACCTATGGACATCTGCAACACCAAAGGAACTGCAGATGCGTTGCCGGCCTTTAAGGAAATGGTGTGCTCGCTTCTTGAAGGTCCCTAAGTCGTATTGGTTTGAAAATACCGCCGAGGAAAGACCGTCCGCCGCACGCCGCGCGCCTGCTACTTGTGCGCTCGAGGCGGCTAGGCGCGGGCGTCCGGCGCCGGGCGGGCGGTCGCCGAAGAGGCGCGCGGCGGAGAGTCCCCGCGCGCGGCGGCGCCCGCGGGCGCGCCCCACACGGCGCGGTACACGGCCGCCGCACACAGCGAGCCGCTCGGCGGGCCCACGCAATACACCTGCGTGGAGAAACACCGACATTTACACCATAAATAAATCGCACAATCTTTTGTTCCTGTCTCTCGTTGCTTGCGGCCTACTGTCAAAATGTTAAATATACTCGAATATTAAGCAGGCAACGGTCGATGCAGCAGAGAGCTACGACAGAGAGGCAGAGACCCAGACGGCGGTGAAGTCGCCGGCGTAGAGCGCGGGGGCCAGGCTGCGCAGCGGGTTGGCGCTGGCGCCCGTGAGGGAACCCGCCGCCAGCGTTAGGCCGGTCACAGTGAAGCCGACGCGCAGCGGCCACGAGTCCAGCAGCCGCCGATTGCGCGCGTCCCAAGAGGCGCAGTTGGCCCACGCCAGCACGCCGCCCAGCAGCGCCTCCACGCACGCCGCCTGCGACACGAAACGCCGCCGCGCGTTACTAAAATTCAACTTCTTCAAAACTGTGTGGACCTGACAATAACTTTCGATAAGTCACGTGGAATTCGGACGTTATATTCGGTATGTGTCCGGTGACCGGTGACATTTGAAGATCGCACCTGTGCGGCGCCGATGTTGGGCGCGGGCAGTGTGCGGCAGGCGGCGGGCGCCCCGGGCGCCAGCGCGCGCAGCAGGGCGCCGCCCGCCGCCGCGCCCGCCGCCTGCGCCGCGAGGTAGGTGGCGCCGCGCCGTGCCGAACGGTGCCCGACCACCACTGCAGCCAGCGTCACCGCCGGGTTCATCATGGCGCCCGATACGTGATCGAAGCACTGCAATGCATACATTTTGCCATTGAAAGTTTATGGCGGCACAGGGTTAGCCGCGAACGCTCAACTAGGGAAAAAAACAAAAAACAAACCTTTGAATTGAAACATGTATGTAATCTTTTATTTCATGGCGGAAAAAACCATCAGGATACATTACGTGCCGCCGAAATAGATTAGATTGGAATAGCACTGTATGAACTAACCCGTTAGACATCGAACTATTTGCGTGGGAGGCAGAAGGGCGGGACTCACCTGCACCAGCGCGGTGACGACAAGGCCGGCGGCGAGTGCGCGCTGCAGCGGCGGGGCCTGCGCGCACGCCGGTAGACACGTCAGCAGCACGAGCAGCGCCGAGCACGCCGCCTCGGCCGCCGCCTCACGCCAAACCGCTCGCGAGCCTCGCGGCCGCACGTCCGCGCCCCGAGGACACACCGCGCACAGTCTGTCCTCTTCTACCTCGGAATCTCCATAGAAACCTCCTTTTGAATCTCGAGAATCGACTCCTTTAAAAACATATTTATTTAAATATAGCTTGAAATAGGTATATCTATGCGTTTTCTTATCAAGTCATTATTTTATGTGTACTAGAATGAATACTATCAAGATATGCGACGACACGAAAGATGCCACAGTCGAAATAGTTGTCTTTTTTCGGGAACTCCTCAAGTTAATATTTTAGTTTATAATATGTGCCAAACTCAACATTAGGTTTTGAAGGCTACAGTTTTGTTCATTATTCACGATAAACTTGAATAGGCATTTATTATAATTTGCAAGAAAATTTGTGAAGAAACTTCACCAAATATAATAGATAAAATTTCGGCATTGAAATGTACGCCAATCAATTGCCGACATGAGCGTCTCTGTATGCAGTACGTATGTACGTAGGTACATGTTATATACATACATACACTACATGTATACATACACAGCCGCAAACAAAATAATATTTAGACAAGGATTAGGTGCGCCGCGCCGGCTTCATGAGTGCGCGTTTCCACTGCCGTGAAACCGTGTCCTCGTACGAGTAAGTATTGCTCTCAATCGTTTGGTTATTTTGAAGTTATCATTTTGATCGTTCTGCATGTATCTAAATTTTCAATACAAGTTAATATTTTTTTTTATTATATATCATAAGGTGGCAAACGAGCGAACGGCCACCTGAGATCGCTGAAATAGCGAAGTGACCGTTGCCCATAGACATACGCAATTGCATATGCGTTGCCTACCTTTAATCCACGGAGGAGAGGATGCACAGAAAGAAAATATATTCTCTTTCCATGCATACTCTCATCCGGAAAGTCCACTTCCCATCCTTTCCTTATAAGAAAAAGGGTGGGAAGGGAAAGAGGACTAAATTAGGCCTCCGGGACGCACACTCATCAAACGAAACGCGGAATTGCTTCCACTTCACGCCTGTCTTCTGTGTGGTCGTGGTATTTCACCGGGCGAGCCGGGCTAATTCTTGTGAAGATGTTAAAGCGGGCTCTACCACTGTTAAAAAGAAAAAAAGTATATTGTCGTTGCCTTATTGTGCGGTCACTCTGCCGATTTAATAATCTTAGGTTATTTACACAATAAAGCATTACGTTTTATCCACAAATTGCACTAACAAAATGTATGAAGAAAATAACTTATATATATAGATATAATTTATATAGAACTGTGGCGAAATATCTGTCAGACATAAAATAGTAGTGCGTGTGAGCGGAGCGGCGTCAGGTCCACAGGAGCGGCGGAGATGTGGAAGGCAGAAAAAGCGACTTACTTGTGACAGTGAGAGGTGCGGGCTCCCGCTCGTGCACCATGTTGCGGAGGGCCGAGCGCGCGCTGACTGCGGCCCGCGCCAGCGCGCCACGCAGCCACCGCGCGCGCCGAGTACGGCGAGGACGGCGGAGACAAACATCATTAAGTTGTAATTCATACCGGCGTGATAACGTATGTTATTTGGTGACGTGCAAACAATGCGTCCGTCCCGCGATGAGCAAGCGTTTAGCACCGGTCGCCGCTCACCGCTGTTGTAATTCGCACTCGCCAGATAAGGACTCCTCGGACTCGCCTTGTATGAACGCCTCACATCAACAATAATCAGTCGAAGGAATAACTAAAGGAAAGCATTACGTGCGGCGCGCCGCTCGTGTGTGCGCACACCTCTGGCCTATGTGCGATTTTACAACCCCAACAATCACGTCATCTATAAATGTTCCTTACCAATTTCTTACTACACAATATTATAAATACAAAATATGTGGATGGATGGATGTTCGTTATAAGATATGATTCTAGAGCCATGCAGCCGTTCTGGAGATATTGCTTTCAGAGAGTATATCTAGATATGGAATACTGAGTGGAAGCAATGCTTAGGCTACTAAAAATGTTTTCATTAATCGTGCGCGGAAAATGTCGCGGGCGACAACCCAGACTGCTAGTTGTCAATATTTAAGTTAGAGTTAACCGGCTGCCGTAAAGATCGAGATATGGCCGTCCTCCGGCGTCGTTCTGTTCTGTACGGCGACTGTGACACCCTTAGCTTGGATTTAGATAAATCCTTTGTATTATTATTATTTACTGAAGATAAATTATAAGTACAATGTCTGTTATAAATAAACGTTGCGAAGATAGTCAGCAGATAGCGAGAAGCGAGTGCCGTTGTCTGTCTGTGTGAGTAGTACTGTCGGCGGAGTGTCTGTGTGTTTGTACGCACGGTCGCGTTTGTTCTGACAAATCTCCGAAACGGCTGGAACGAATTTCAATTTGACGCAGATTATAACTCCCATCTTACTATAATAATATTAAAAATGCGAATGTTTGGATGGATGATTGTTTGAAGGTCTCTCCGTCTCAGAATCTCTATAACAGCTGAACGGATCTTGGTGCAGTTTGGCACAGATGTAAATCATAGTCAAGAAAAAGAAATAACCATCTACCATTTAAGTTTTTTTAATTCCGTGCGGACAGAATCACGGGCGACACTCAGTACGCCAAAATGAACCATTTTTTAGTTATCGTGGTTTTAGCTTTGTTTAAAGTAAGGCAAAAATCAAACATCAAAAATGTGTTTTTCGATTTATATGTGCACATTTATGGGACGTCCTGAGGGTGAAGGAAAACATCGTGATGCTGCAAAGAAAAGAAGAAAGCGAAGAAATTCAAAAGATATTATATGTGTGAAGTGAACCCGCACTGAATCAGCGTGGTCGAGTATGGGTCCAGTCACCACTCACTTAGGGTAGACTTGGAGCCCCTCAGTGGGGACGAGCAGTGAGCTCCACAATTATCGGGCCGTCACAAAGTGTGCGCGGAGTCGGCGGAGGTGAGGGCGAGGAATTGAAACGCGCATTAATTACATAATTTTATTAGTAGCAGCGCCTAGAGGCGGGCGAGGTGGGGGTGAGGGTGAGGGTGGGGATGGGGGTGAGGGTGGGGGTGCGGCGCGGCCAGCTCGAGGTCGCGGCGGCGCGCGGCCAGACGCGCGTGCAGGTAGCGCGCGACTCCCTCTCCCGCCCACGGCTGCGCGTAGAATGCGCCGCGCCGCTCCTCCTCGGGGTTGCCCGCGCCGCCCGACAGCGTCTGCACACGCGCATGTCACACGTCACCCCACGCCCCGCGCTCCGGGCGCAGCGCCCCGCGCTCCGGGCGCAGGGCCCGAGGGTGACGTCAACTAACATAAGTTCGAAAAGAAAAGAAAAAAGAGAATGTATTTATCGAAGGCGATGCAATCCCGCGATGGAGGGGAATGAATAACAAATTATAAATAGTGAGTATGAAATGGTGAATGTGCGATGATGAGCAAGCAGGTGGAGGCGGACACGGCAGCGGGAAGCAGATCACCTTCAGGTCGCGCGACTGGCTGACGAGCCACTTCTGAATGAACTGCTGCGGCTCCTTGCTGAAGCTGAGGAAGAACTCGCGGTTGGTCTTCAGCTGGTTTATTGTGTCGACCTGCAGCAACACACAGACAAACAGTCAGTGCAGTCGCGGGAGAGGGTTAGTTTACAAATACATATGGTTTGTTTGAGGACTGACCGTCTCGTGTATCTTGGCGTCGAGGCCCTGTATCTCCTGCTGGTTGGCGGTGCTCAGCAGGAAGCTGTTCATTTGCGTCTTGAGGGTATCGTCGACCTGCAAAAAGGGCCGGCGGTGAGTGCGGGTCG